TCAAAGGAAACTGGAGACTCCTCCACTCCATTCGTGCATCGGCGAGAAGGCGAGATGGAGGCAAAGACCTGTAGACGAGGCTGGCAGACGTCGTAGTACAGCCCACGCAAGACATGCAGGGGAGAGATGGGGATCACGTAGGTATTTGTAGTGTTTCAGGAGAGGAAATGACGTCGGGAGCGATTGCTGATTACTGACGGCTGAGGCTGATTGAGCTTGGTTGTCGTCATCCCTCCCGGACTTTCGTTACAAACTCCATTAGTTACCCAGCAAGTGCAGAGCTGATGTGCTATATGAAATATGAAATTTTATAAGCGGCGCATAGATCCTGTGAAAAAACACAACAACTTTGAAATGGATAAACTGATGTGCTAAGTTTGTGGTGGTTGTAAGACTGTGACCCCAGATCGCCCCCAAAACTCGATCTGATGTAACGTCCCCCTTGGTGCCACAGAGAAGGTCCAAAAGCACTCGATATTGTGAAATAATACTCAGATTTTATCTTGCTGAAACACACTCAGTTTTAAAAGAGGAATCATTAAACAGGGTTCATTCAATAGTGCTCGAGAGAGCCAAAGAATTGCAGACACCAGACGCATGAAGAGAAGAAAGACGCCAGAGGAAGAAATACATGTTTTTTGAAGAAAGATTACCTTTAAAATGGCGACGGGAAGAGTGCGATGTTACCAGTTAGAAGACGTATACATTAAACTTACTTAATAAATTACAATCAATGAATTATTAATGAAACCGCATACATTGCCTTCGTTTGAAGATCGGCAGATTTGATGCGGTAGTGGTGACATCTTGCGCCGAAACACGGACCTAGCATGGGAGAAAAAGGATCTGTGTGCAGCTGAAGATCTTCATGGAAATTATCCTGTGTTTTCAAAAAAGTATGATGAACGGAATTTGTCCTGATTCTCTGACTTCTCAGACTGGGGTCCCCTTAAAACGTGGGCAGGATTAACAGCTTCTTGCAAGAGCAAGTAGGCTTTTATACACAAGTGTCAAAGCTTTGCACAACTCCTGCTGTACCCTTTTCATCTAAAACATTATACGAGTTAATAGTGTTTTGTTCATCTTTCTCTGCCAGTGGCATAAAATTATGCAGTAGATTCATTAGGATAAAATAAGTTCATGAAGATAACTTTGTTGCGTTAATTCTATCATGCACTGTATACAATCTGTATTCTAAATATTTAATGCATACTTGGTTTGCTTACAATACATTTTTATTTTGTTTATCCTAAAATAACCCAGAAGAATCGTGGATTGCTGCATTCATCGATTTCTGGGCAGGATGAGCGTCAGTTCGTGAGTCACTCCTGTCTTTGACTTGGCATTTGTCCATGAGAAAACGTTACTACTGCGGCGACTTGACCACAACACTCCCGTGTCAGCAGTTTGATATCTTTGAAGACTGTGCCCTTTTCTGTGTATTACACATTATCCAAAGCAAATTAAAGACACTGATTATCACACGTTTCGATTTGTGTGCGAAGACAGAAAGTGACGTGTGCTGCCGGATTGTTATTCTCTGCCTGTAATTACTTCTAAAAGGCACACGCTAGTAGTAATTCGTCTTCCTAAGACATGGGTAGTTATGATGTTAAGACCTCAGGGTTTTTGAATTACGCTGTTTTGATGTCGTTTACGACGGCCGTGAATTTAATTCAGGAGATTCAAAACTTTTAAAGACTTGCTCATGGTATATAATACGTAGGTAAACATTGATGATAATTTAATATACGTTTTAAACTAATTGGATCACTTTTGCTTGTTTAAGAACCGCAGACTTCCATATAAACACGCAATAGGAAGATGTACATTTTGTTCAGGCGTTCCACTGACGGACCTTGACAATTGTGAGGCTACCCAATGTTAATTCAGTTAAACCAGTCCTAAATCAACAAATATTAGTTCAAAATGCTTCTCGCTGTTAAGAAAGAGCGTTAAAAAAACCCGTCATAACACTTTGGACATACGGATTTTATTCGTAAATAATGTTTATTCGGATACCCGAACAGCACTTCGAAATCCGAGACGCAGTTCGGTTTTTCAGCAAGTTCCCAAATTTCCGACCCCGAAATACCATCGGATTTCATCACTACTGCTACCCCTGTTGTTCGATGGAAGTCAAACGGACATCAAGGGCAGGAAAGCGATATTAAATCCCCAACACGAAGACACTCATTCCGGTCTAATTGCAATCTCACTCCCTCATCAATACAGAAATACTACAGCGGGCTGTTTTTTTTTTTCTTCCGTAGCTACATGTTGTGCATAGAAAATGACCAATCGAAGTCACGGCGAGGATTAAACGCTTCTCCACGGGTTTTTTTTTGTCTCTCTATGGGAAGCCGCGGCGCTCGGATACTTGTTCATACAGCCGCCGGCGGCGCTAACTGCGCTTGAAAGACCCGCGGCAGGTGGTGATGTTTCGGGACTCCGGCTGCATCACATGACGGTGGTTTTTCGGTCGCATCGCTTTTCGTCCATCCAACGTCATGTGAAGGGGGGAGCGTAGCTTTTCTCTCTCTCTCTCTCCCTCTCCAGCCGGGACCCTCCTCCGCCAGCCTCTCCCGGCTCGTCGGCGGTAGGTCTATGGGGAAAGCAGCCGCTCCCTGCAGCGGGTCCGGCGGCTTCGTCTCCATCCTCACCGCGGTGCCCTGTTTGTCCTGCAAGCCGCAGCCTCCGGCCGAGCGCAGGATGAGCGACCAGGGCAGGAGTTGCTCGTCTTCGGCGTCCGCTCCGGCCCCAGCGCCGGGGTCCGACACCTACAAGGGGTGGCTGTTTAAATGGACTAACTATTTGAAAGGGTACCAGCGCCGGTGGTTCGTCCTCAGCAATGGCCTGCTGTCGTATTACAGGTAAATCGGGCAAGGGGAGGGGGGTCAGGTGTGTGTTTGCATGTCCAAATGTTTCGGTGACGGCCCTTCAGCTACATTATTGCGTTATTGTGGTACCGTGTCTCGCAGCGGTACACGGGAAAGTGCAAAGAAAGTTGCGGGGTCTTGAGCCTCAGGGGGGCACGCAACTTCCTGGGGGGGCTCCTGTTCACACTGGGCACGTTTCGTGCATTTGAAGGCGATGCTGGCCGCCTGTCAGGGCAGGGCCTGTTGCACCCCCGCAGGAGAAAAACGTGGAAGTGTTGACATGGTCCGGTTTTAAATGTGCAGCGTCGCGTCCGGGCCAGCCCACGAAGGGACACGGCTTTTTTTTTTGTGTGTGTGTGTGTGTCGCCTCTCCCAGACGAGGGTTTCGGAGGGCGAGTTTGTGGGTCGCGCTGGTCGCCACATCCAGCCTCTGTCGGGTCGAAACGGGCTGAGCGTGAGTGAACTTCTCGCTGCTGCTGAAAGCAAGATGACAGCGCACTTTGTAGAGCTCACAGCGCCAGCAGTGACAAGCACCAACTTCTGTCAGCCTGCCGCGTCACTGCTGCCCAAACTGGACGGCCAGGGTGGCCGTGGAAACGTTTTTATTTTGTGCTCAAGTGCACGAACTCCAGACCCTCCTGTGGTTGCAACAGGAGTAGTGTTTGATGTAAGAGGCGCAGAATCCACCAGACGCTTTGCCTCGGATAAATCCAATAAATTAATCTAAATGCCACGAAAGAACATGCGTCGTATATGATCCTGCTGAAACAGCTAAATCCGGGCTGACTCGAGCTGCAGTTTAATCTGAGCGTTCAGGTATATTCGAGCTGCTAAAACCTTGAATGGGTTTAACGCGTCCTGTCGTGCATGCTGTGTCCCTGTGCCAGGAGAGTCCCTTTCATCTGTATGAGTGTTAATAGAGGTCCACGCTTTTTTTGTTGTTGTCTCGGAATCAAATTCTCACATGTATTTTCTCTATATCCATTGGGTAGCTTTCTTTTTGGCAGCCCTCCTCTCACTTTCTAAGAGTGTTTACTGTTTACACTTTCAGTCTAAAGCTTCAAGGATCGTAAATCATCAGTTTCTTTTCTTGTTCAGAAATGGATAAGGAAGTATAAGGACGTCCACTGTTTGGGCACAGCTAGTACTGTATCCAATGAAATGTGTTAGTAGCTCACAGGTTAGTTACAGAGGTCGTGTTCAAGTCCAATTAAAGGGCCTCATAATTCAGGTATCTCAAGGTTTGCAGGACTCGCATTACGGAGCGTCATTTAGTTGAAACACGAGAGGAAACTATATACACTGGAAACACTAACTGACTAGGAGGCTAGTGGTGTTAAACTCAGCTCGTTGAGCGACCTGTGTCGTCTGGCTTTTGTTTCAGTCTCTTATAGTGTAGTTGTTGATGTGACATTCTTCAGGAAAATAAAAGTATGATGACTGCAAAAGTAAAGTATTTTTTTTTTTCCAGTTGAGAAATATGTTGAAGCTCTTCTGTCTTGGCATGACAGCTGGGTAAACATGTTGAGCGTGTACCAGCTGAGGAAATTTAGGTCAAAGTGACTGAGATTTTGGGATTTTGTCATTCCAGAGGGGGGTTGCTACTCTCTGAGAATGGCCTTAGACACTCCTGGTCTAGGGAATAGGGCATCCTTTTACTTGATGAAGGCCAGTGTTGTAGTATGAACATCTGAGCAAGGAGAGAGAAGAGCAGTCCTGTCATGACCAGTGTTTGTGGTGCAAGTGAGTAAGCACTTGTCCACAATTGTCCTACGGGTAATATGGAAAACCGAGGTCCTGACTCTCTGTGGTCATTAAAAATCCCAGGGTGTTTCTCGAAAAGAGTAGGGGTGTTACCCCGCTGGCCTGGCCAAATTTCCCCCCTGGCCTTTATCAATCATGGCCTCCTAATAATCCCCCTCTCTGAACTGGCTTCATCCCTCTGCTCTCCTCCCCGCTGAGAGCTGGTGTGTGGGGAGCGGACTGGTGCACTGTGGCTGCCGTCACATCATCCAGGTGGGGCTGCACACGTGGTGGTGGTGCAGGGGGTCCCCATTACCTGTGAAGCACTCACATTACCTGTGAGTGGAGTGTCCAGAAAAGCACTATATGATTGTAAGGACTACTACTACTACTACGACTAATTAATTATAGATAAGGAGACCCATACGCTGTATATTAGCCATTTGGGGAAGTTCTGTCTGTTCCTCGTCATAACTTTGTGAACCTCTGGCAGTTGAGGCGGATGGGTGTCAGCTGAAGCCACAGCACAGAAACTCTTGCTGGTGTCTTGAATCTTAGCGATCTGAGTTCAGTCCAGGTGGTCTTCACCCGTTGCTGTGATCCAGCCTCTACGGACAGAACATTCCGGAGAAGTGCCTTTTCAGAGCCGGACCGTTTGCAAGGCGGAAGCCGCAGATGAGAAGCAGTTGGAGTCATTGTGTTTGCAGCAGGCAGGGGACATGACCGCGCTCTGTTCTTGCCCTGGTCTATTATTAGCCTGGCGCTGTGTACTGTAAGAAGGTGGCTGCTGTCCTCTGAAGTAAGGGTGGCTTGGCATCTGAAAGTGAAAGGCCAGGCCGCCTTTCACAGAGCCTGCCGATGGCCGCTGACTGAGGGGGAGCGGTAGTGACAGTTAGCAGCAGGGTCATTGTTTATACTCTGAAGTGCTGTGCTGGTCTCCTCCCGAGTGACGGAGTTGGTAAAGGTGTTCAGGTGAGTGCAGGGTAAGCTTTGTGACCCCGGGTTCAAGCCTGGGTCATGTCACGGGCGGGGAGTGGGCTTAACCAGCCAGGCCGCTCTCGGCGCCCCCTGTGGCCTCCTGGGAGCTTGCAGCCATCCAGTGCTGTTGGCAATCGTCATGCATCACCTCCGGTCAGCGCTGGATCTCAGGCAGGGCGCTGTGCTGCCTGTGGTGACGAGTCTGAGGAGGACAGGAGAGGTCTGCCTGCTGTTCTCTACACATGTTTCCCTGTGTGAGAATGACGGTGTGTCTCCAGCTTTGTCGCTGGTTATCTATTCGTTTCCTAACTGCTTCCGGACTCTGGGTCCCAGGGGTTGCTGACTCCCAGAGCTGGTTGCTGACTTCTGTTTCAGTTTCACCGGCCCATCACAAACAGTTTCTCCAAGAACTTGTGAGGAGGAATTATTATTTTATGGGCATTTTAATAAATTGCATGGTGCAATAATAAGCACGAGGATTTGCATGCAGCAACACTGAGTGTAGTACAGGACAGCAAATTGTGTGTCAATGCAGTACTTTCTGTGGCTGCAGTGAAACTGGATGGTGTAGAAGTGCAGAGCAGTGCCGTGCTCACTGGTGCATTTTGTTCATTGCGCTTGTGAAACAGAGAATGCAGGAGATTAGGAGTGAACAAAAGCAGTCTGAACAGCCTAGCACAGCAGCAGGTGACCTGTTACACAGTGCAGGGGATAATAGCTCTTTAGAGCTTGGCAGTGTGGTTAACATGTGAGGTATACAAGCCTGAAGCAGCTGGGTTTGTAGAAGTGAGGAGTAGTGATAAGCGCTGGGGCAACGATAGTGTTGTCCAGGGAGTCTGGAGGAGGAGGAAAATAGAAGTTGCACATTCAGGCCTGTGCTACACCAGTAGACCTCCCTGACGTTTGTTTTCCTATGTGGAGAGGAGCTATCTTTTCTGAGTACAGTATTACTGGAATCCTGTTCCTCTGCCCGTGACTGCGTGAAGTTGAGTGTAGCGATCGTATAATCAGTCCCAAGGATGCTTTGCCCTGGATGTGAAGACTTGTGGCAACACAACAGTGTTTTTTAAGCAGCCATCTAACAAAAGGTCTTTTGCTAACTTGTGAGCCAGTTGCAGTCCCTGTTTTAAACTGTATGTTTAGGAGCTTGTTAAAGATTTGTCTTTTCATTGGTAGCTTGTGTTTTTGTGAGCCCTGTAATGATCGCTTACAAGACTCAGGAGATAAGCACCTGTACAGCAAGTCCCCAAAGAGCCCTGCTCCAGTCCTCAAGGACTGCTGCTCAGCAGGTGTACAGTACAGTAGGTCTCTCTAAATCTGCTGCCGTGCTAGAAAAAGGAAATACTTCACCTTCTCTGCAAGTAATAAGCTCAAATAGGTACTAAGAGCTGAGGCGGGATGAATGCCACAGACCTTCTGGCCCTTCAGGACTGGAGTTGTGCTCCACTCCACTCACTGGGACCTGTTAACATTGTTGAAACACACCTGGGCTAGACAGCTCTCCAGCATCATTGCAGAGGTTTAACATGGGAACAAAAGTTTATATACATCAGAGATGATTTGTGTCACATATGTCATGACAAAATTGCTGCTTTAATGCAGGTGATGCATTACCTGCTTAAGAGGTAGGGAAATGGGCTTGTCCAGGTAGACAAAAGTTATAATTTAAGTGAAAACATGACATTGAAGAAACTCTTTATTCCTTCTCTGTGAAAGGAGAATATTTTTTTTGTTGGATAAAAGTTCATGGCTCCTTATTGAACTTGCTGTAAACATGTAATGAAATGATGGATCAGTGGGTCAGTCTCCCAGGTACACAGAAGATGCAAGTGCACCTGGCTTGTTGTGTACTGTACGAGCTTAGTTTCCAAACCCTGACACAGCCACATTGTATTTGAGGCTGTGCCAGATGCTGTAATGCCATAAAGATAATAATTTCCCCCCTTATATATTCTTTATATGTTCTTTTTGCTTTTTGTGTAGAGCCAACTGTATGTGAAATGAAGACAAAGCTCTTTTTTGTTGTGTGTTATTTGATCCTCTATTTTAAAGAAAACCTATACCTTCAAATTACATTTCACGTTGTTTTTCCACATCATAATAACAGATGAAGTACCAGTGCTGATCAGTTCATTTTGCAAATATGGGCTCACATAAATGCCAGAATCTTGCAACTGAACCACTGCAGTTTCTGGGATTTATGTTTTTACTATGTATTCATTTTACACTCTTAATGAAATGGCATGGCTGTGAATGTGCTGGGTATTTTAAAC